AATGCAGATTTGCTGACAGATTAGGGAGCAGGGGGCTGGGGTGACCGGGAGGTCACCCAGGAGCACAGAGGCCATTGGAGAAGCATTAAATCACCAGTTAATGAGGTGTTGCTACTCCTTGGGGCTGGGGGAGGAAAAGTTCAGGAGAAACATCTGGAACTTCCTGAAAAGGTTACCAGGCTGGTCCTGGTCCTGCCCTGACCGCAGGGTACTGGACCCGGACAGAGCGGACAGAGCGGTGGGGCCTGTGGTGCTCATTTCACTCCCCAGGGATGAATTCCTCCCACGGGGGCAGTACTGTCCTCCCTGTGCCCATCCTAGTGAGCATCCCTCACCTTGCAGCCACCCCCTGCCTCCCAAGCCTGATCACGAACTGCCCACAACCAGCAGGCACTCACCGGCCTTGGCCCGCGGTGCCCGTCCCAGTGCGTCAGGTCGGCCCACGGCACAGGCCCGCGGTGCCCGTCCCAGTGCGTCAGGTCGGCCCTCGGATGTTACTGTACTCATTTCACACAGCAGAGCTGAGGCCTGGAGAGGCTTCAGTTTGCTCCGGGTGCATGCCGATGTAGACCCATGCGAGACCCAGCCGTGGTGGTGTACGCAGCTAAGACATTGTGTTCCGCAGGCTGGGACTGGTTTTGATTCCTGGTCCGACCTACAGGCTGGGCTCGATGGCATGCACCTGTGGCCCCAGGAACTTGGGGCGTGGGGCTGAGACAGGAGGATCACAACTGGAAACCGGCCAGGTGACACAGCACGGCCCTGTCTGAAAGAGCTGGAAGGCGGAGGCAGCAGGGCCGTGGCAGGTGAGGCCCTGTCTTTATCTATTTCTATCTGTCCATCCTCTAGCCGGGTGCAAATGCACAGTGCAATAGTCAGCTGTTAGAACAGGCACCAACCAGACCTGGGATTGCTGCATGCTCCCCTCCCCTCAGTGTGCAGCGCTGAAAGAAGCACGTCGTAATCTTGGTGCGACTGCACACACGAAGCACAGCTCCGGGGACCCGCCCACAGAGAGCCCACACCGCCAGTGCTCGGCGGACTTTGTGATGTCACCGACTACACACGAAGTCATCGGGATCCAGGAGGCCGGCCTGCCAGACGCTCCCCACCATGGAGGTTTGTCGGAGAGAGACAGAAAGCGAGAAATCACACACACACACACACACACCAGGGGATGGTCATGCCACAATCCCTTCTCCATTCTCCTCTCGGGATCTTGGGCACGCACACACACGCGCCTGATGTGAGTTTAAGCCACCGGGTCCAGGATTCAAACTGCGATCGTCTACATGGGAGTCCAGTGACATAGCCATTATGCTAACTGCTGGTCCGTACATCCCCCCCCCACCCCCGTGTTCTTCAAGCTGCTGGCTTCAAGGCTGGAACCACGTAGTCAATTACGTGGGCTCCAGCTGCCCTAACCACTGCCACCTGCTGGCCCTGGGCACAGTTTTAAACAAACCCTCTTCCTGACTCAGCAACATTTAAAGGCCCGTGTTGGTCCTGGGCTCAGGGATCTTTGCTCTGCAGGGGCAGGCTCTTTGCTAGTTTCCTAATGTTTTTTTCAGGTTCTTGAAGGTTCCCTCCACCCCACCCATGGAGGAACGCTCTGGGGGCAGCCCTGGTTCAGCCTCCGCCACTCCCAGGGGTGGTTCTCTATGGTTCCCACTGACAGGAGGCAGGACATCTGGGTTTCTTCTCCAGGGGTGGAGGTCTACACTGCAGGATTCTCCAGGGACCTCCTCTCTCACTGGGATGGGAGGATGCAGTGGAGGCAGCCAGAGGGGATGGTACTGCTGCATGGACCCCCCCTTATCCCAGATGCCTGCTGCCTGGGCTCCTTCACACAGGCTCCTCCCTTCCCTGTGTCCCTGGGGAGGGGACATCCCCCAGATTCAAGCCTGCCAGCCACAAGTGGACCCAACTTTCTGGAGAAGGAGGTCCCAGGTAGGCACCTCGGGCACAGTGCCTGGGGCGAGGGCAGGGCTGGGGGGCCTGGACTCGGGGCTGGGTCCGCGTAGATACACCCTGCACCCCTCGCAGCCTGCCTGCCTCCCAGCCTCCTCCCCTCGGTTCCCTCAAGCTCATAGTTCACCCCCGCCCCCAGGTTCTCTCTACAGGACCCCCTTAGGGAACAGGGGCTGCCTCTGCCTCCCAGCTTTCCAGAGAGGCCTCCCTGGGAAACTTCGCGGCCAAGAAGGGTCCAAAGGGTGCACCCCAGAGACGCAGAGCCAGGCACCTGGGCCAGGCCTTGGCCGCAGAGCACAGCACGTGGCCAGAGTCGGGCATTGCGGATCAGCGAGAGGCGCGCATGGAGGGCGCGCTGCTGCAACCGCGGAGCCCCGCCGGCCGCCACCTCGGTCCTCTCCTGCCCGCGCCGGTCCCCCTGTCCGCCCCTCTCCGCACTGCGTCCCCGCCCCCC